GTGCATTACAGTACAGGTTGTTGCAGTACAGGTTGTACAGTGCAGTACAGTACTGCAGTGCAGTACAGGTTAGGTTGTACAGTGCAGTACAGGTTGTACAGTGCAGTACAGTACAGGTTGTACAGTACAGGTTGTAGTGCACAGTACAGGTTGTTAGTACAGTGTACAGTACAGTACAGGTTGCAGTGCAGGGCAGTACAGGTTGCAGTGCAGTACAGGGTTGTACAGTGCAGTACAGGTTGTACAATTTGCAGTACCAGTACAGGTTGTACAGTGTGCAGTACAGGGGCAGGGTACAGGTTGTACAGTGCAGGGCAGTACAGGTTGTACAGTGCAGTACAGTACAGGTTGTACAGTGCAGGGCAGTACAGGTTGTACAGTGCAGGGCAGTACAGGTTGTACAGTGCATTACAGTACAGGTTGTGCAGTGCAGTACAGGTTGTACAGTGCATTACAGTACAGGTTGTGCAGTGCAGTACAGGTTGTACAGTGCAGGTTGTACAGTGCAGTACAGGTTGTACAGTGCAGTACAGTACAGGTTGTACAGTAGGGTGTGTCAATTTAGGGGGTGAACTGGCTAAATTGAAAATCGAGTAATTTGGTAGCAATTTATTGTAGTCTTTAAGCATGCAAAACAATATTCTGGCATAAATTTTTTTTTATAATAAGTCCTACCTACATCAAATGGATTTTTAGATGTACATATTTGTGAATTTATAACATAACCAGCGTTTGCACACATGTTACTGTTTCAAGTTTCAAATTATTATATTTTATTATCCGTAGTCTATTTGAAAGTAACCAATGCCTTCATACTCTCTTTGCTTTGGTTTCTTGTCATCAGTAGTCTGCTTGCTATTTGTGCTTTGATGTAACCTTCTCGCCTCTCGTGGCTGTAAACATGGCCCGCTGCTTCTGTGACCATTTTCACACATCTCTCCACACTTTGAGTGTGGGAAGGCCACTTCGGCACCTGCATTGGAGTCTCTTTAAGGTTTCTCAATTCTTGGCTAGTTAGACTTGTTGTCAATGGTGGCTCTAAGACTTCCAAACTCAAGTCAACCAATTCTGACAATTTGGTGGCATTGACGTTTATTGGGGGAACTTTTCTTGAATGAAACGAACAGTCTCCCAACTGGTCGTCATCTATTAGCGTTCCTCTAATCTTTAGAATGACTTCTACAGCCTCGGTTCGGATATTGGTACATTGACTGCAAAGCATTGCTTGCAAAACTGATTCTGATCGAGCATACCAAGCGGACCTTCTTGCCACAGGTAACACGATGTCCCTCACTACCTTCCTCTGTGTTCTTACTAGCTGCAATTGAAACAAAAGGTGATTGGGCCCATCCACCCACATAGGATTAAGTTTCACACTAAACCACTGGGGAAGATAAACTCCAATAATAAATTCAACAATTAACCTCAAATTCTTCAGCACTTTGCCCTTCAATTCGTGTTTGGAAATCCAAATCCTGCAGAAACGAAGAGCTGTAGTTAACCAACGGCTGTGACTGACAGGTCCAATCTCCAAGAGAGCCAATGACTGAGGCACTTCTCCTGATCTTATTGCTTGGGCAATACGATAAGCATAGGATTGATCTGTGCTGAGATCTTTGATGACTCCTTCAGACAACGCCGGAAGGGGAGGGCCAACTTCGACCTTTGGAAAGGTTGTATTTATTTCTAGTTGTGTTGCTTCATCCAGCATGATGCCAAGGGGACCTGACCACTTGTTGTTGCTCTTTGTAGGACCATCAAGTTCCTGGATGAGATGACGAAGAGGTAGCTCGCCTGTATGTAAATCACATACAATCCAAACAAGTCTTCTTCCTAGTTTTTTCTCTAAATGCGTCATTACACCCCCCTGCCATCCGGTGTTCACTGCAGTTGAATCTCCACCAACAGCCTGCAGTGAACTGCCAAGTCCTCTCTCCTGAACCCAACATAAAATATGATCAGCAATGACCTCTGCATGTTTCTTCCCTTCTACTTCAGTTTCGGGAGCAAAGTGAAACAAAAACCGACCACCAGGCTCAGAACAGACAGAGTAGTGTTCTTCTTTGATGAGACCTGGAAACTTTCTGTTCACTCCCTCTACTTCTAGCAAAACTTTTGTGTCATCTATTCTTCCATCAAACAAAAGACAGGAGAGCCCTCCCTCGCTTAAATCTTTTTCATGCTGATCAGATATTTCCTTCATTATTTTTTCTTGTGCTCTTCTAATTTTATTATGATCTATCACCAAAGATACATCCTCTCGGCTGATGAGGCCTGCATCTATCCAAGCGGCAGTTGCAATTTCTGCAGCCTCACGAAGTCCAGCATGGTGGCGAATACTAGCTAAAGCAATGTTTGAAATATTTCTTGTGTTGTATTTCATTTTCTTTGGTAAAGGTTCAGATGGCTCTTTGGAACTATCATCTGATGTTGCTTCCTGTTCATCAGAAGAACTATCAAAGAAGTGATAAACATCTTGACACAGCTCTTCCTCTCTTTGGATGGCTTCTTCACTCTTCATTTTCTTCTTTTGTTCCCTCTCTCGGATTTGTTCTCTCTTCTTGGCATTAGCAATCTGCTTCTTTGTTTCTGAATAATCTATTGAACCCATTTGCATACTTCCTTGGCCTTCTGCCTTTGTCCTCTGTGCCTTTATAAATTCAAGCTCTAAAACAGGGATCTTCTTTTCACGAGGACAACCACAATCAATGTGGGAATTATTTTCTCTCTTACCTGAGTGAGAACAGTTGGATTCAGAACATAATTGTATGGAGCACTTGCAGGTCAAAATGTCAAACAGAGTATCAAGTGTGTGCAGAAATTCATTTTTCCTGGCCAAGTTTCCTTTACCAAGTGATGTTTCAACTGCTTTGTGCCATAATTTCGTTAGTTTTAGCTCAATAGTTCGACACTGATTAATCACAGGTGGTTTGAATAGTGCATTAGCTTTTGTCCATTGATGCAGAAGAGGGACTATCATGTCATTTATGAGTTCTTTATCTGTATAGTTCCTTCTGTCCTTTGCATTTTTTTCTCGAAGGAGTAACCCTAATCTTAGCATGTCTCTCACTGTTGGAAGTTCTGATACAGGAAGCTCCTTCCCTTTACCAACTAGCAGGCTCAAGTGGGTTGACAACTGACTTCTTGTCTTCAATTTTGACATCTTCACACTATCTGACAAATAGAAAAATATTTCAATGTTTCATAATTCAATTGTTGTTTCAAAAAATATCAATTTGTTTATAAAAAATGCTGTAACAGAAACAACATAATAATTTCTTAGAACATAATGTTTTATACAATGATATAAGTAACTGCGACAATCAATATGCCCTACTTACAATAATTAAAATGTAGAATTCGTCTGGTAGAGTAGGTGCAAGTGCAATGAGAGCAAACCACCGTCTATGATATCTAGAAGGAGAGTGAGCCGGGCGCCTTATCCTCACGCTTGGTACAAGTCAAAACAAGAATTAAACTGTCCCACACGGAGAGCCTGTTCATGTTCATGTTCTGACATGCATATTGTACACAAGCTATAGAACCATAAAATACTCCATAATCCATATGCTTACATGAGATTAGTTAATATCAAGTGAATAATTCTAATCAAGTCTCATTAATTTGTTGAAATACTGATATTTGAAACTTTAAGGTATAATTGATGTAGGTGAGGGTTATTTCAATTCATTTTTGTTTGCTAATCTCAAGTTTAGACATAAAGAGGCACAATATTTTGACTACCAAATTTGATTTTTAACATGTTGACAAAATTGACACACCCTATTGTACAGTGCAGTACAGGTTGTACAGTGCAGTACAGTACAGGTTGTACAGTGCCATTCAGTACAGGTTGTACAGTGCAGTACAGTACTGGTTATACAGTGCAGGGCAGTACAGGTTATACAGTGCAGTACAGGCTGTGCAGTGCAGTACAGTACAGGTTGTACAGTGTAGTACAGTACAGGTTATACAGTGCAGTACAGTACAGGTTGTGCAGTGCAGGGCAGTACAGGTTGTACAGTGCAGTACAGTATAGGTTGTACAGTGCAGGGCAGTACAGGTTGTGCAGTGCAGGGCAGTACAGGTTGTACAGTGCAGTACAGTACAGGTTGTACAGTGCAGCACAGTACAGGTTGTCATGCTTTCCACAGCGTTGGTTGACCCCAAATTAGGTCACGAAATGGTATTTCATGATCTCTCCACTATTTTTGGTGTCATATGAAGACTGTACAACATGGTGATGTACAGTCAACCCTCACTTTACGCGGTTAATTCAACCCACAGGGTACCGCGGAAAGTGAGAAACGCGTAAAGTGAACAACATAACATATGGGATTAATTGAAATAGAGACCGGGCCGATCCCCAAACTCCACTTTTTGACGACACACTACTATGTTGTAGTAAAAATTTTATCTTAACTTTATGATGGTATGCACACACAATTAATAATTAAGAGAAATATCAATAATACAGTATTAGGTTTTTTAGCACTTACATTAGTAGAAAAGATAGCTGGGCACACGGGGATGGGTGGTTGGTTCCGAAGCAGAGGGCAGATTATTGGCCCTCACCTGTATCACTTGTATCAATTGTATCACTATCCACCACAGAGGCTTGCAGGGCCTCTTTGTGAAACCCCTCAAAGTCCATATAAGTCCATATCCTCACTATAATTATCACTATCACTGACTTGGGCCGGCTGTGGTGGGTAGCGGGTGAAGAACTCGGTAATGTTTTGATGACTGGGCGACCTTGTGCGCACCCTGCTCGCGCCGCTTACACAACATTGGCGGATGGCGGGAGGTTTGGATCCAAAAATGGCGCGGCTCGCCAGCCGCTCTCCGCGTAAAGGGGTACATGCACCACGGAATGTGAGCATTCCTGTTTCGGCAGGGTACCGCGTAAACGTGGAAACTCGGAATGTGGGACCGCGTAAAGCGAGGGTTGACTGTACAGCACTTATACAGTTTGGTACATCAATCTTTTCTTTTATCAGGAGAAATCAGGAGTGTGAGAGTGGCCAAGTTTCAGCGGAGTTTGATAACTCTTTCAAACCTGATGAGCGTCTACCTGGCATATCTGCTGTACTTCGTGCTCAAGGACTTTTGTGTCGTCTGTGTCACCACGTACTTTGTCAACGTTCTCCTGACTGTGTTGGCATTCATGCGTGTTTCTGCTCTCCAGAGAGTTTTGAAAACAAAGGTCAAATAATGAGTAGCACTGAGTACAGTACAGTGATGTCCAAAACTTAATACTTAATGTCTTAAATCTTCACAGAAAATGTTCTGTCATATATTTATTAGCAGGAATGTAATATTACTGTACATTATAGCAAAAACAATTATAGGAAAATTAATTATGTCTGTGTGTTCATTATAAATATGTAAAGATTAAAGAGAATTTGTTAACAGGCGCGTAGATTATTGAAGTATTAGCAGTACGTAGAGTACAGAGTTATGATCCACTCACTGGCCAAGCCTTGAGCTTTAGACCTTTACTGTACCCACTGTCACCAGGTACAGTACAGTATGTTACTAAGACAACAGGTCATTACAGAGGCTCCTATGTGACAGATGGTAAGGTTACTGCACTGTAATTGCTGTGACAAATGTTCCTAGGAAAAACTGCAATGGAATTCTTTACAAAGAACTTCACTGCATTATTGTAGAATTAACAAATCAAAATAACTAATGTGATAATTGAATCCAAACCTTATACTGTGCTGTACTGTACATACCTTTAATGTAGAGTTTCCAACAACAGTCCCGTCGTCGCCTCTTGTGCTGCTCCACATACCCCGAGATTCAGAGTCGTGAACCTGAAGCATTTATGGATGTAATAAAGCATTAGTGTCTACTGCTTCAGGTTCACGAGTCTGAATCTCGGGGTTTGTGGAGCAGCACAAGAGGCGACGACGGGACTGTTGTTTACGACTGTACAATAAAAGCGTTGACCTGATGTGGGTAAGGTATAGACCAGCAAATGTTGACCTGGAGTGACTGTTAACTTAAGGGCAGTAACTTCTCCTTTAACCACACTGTTTTCTTTTAATCAGAAATCTCCAATAACTGGATTTATGAGAGTTTGTCTTTAAATTTAAGACCCACTTGGGGGGGGGGGCATTATGTCTTTGGAGGTACAGTACAGTACCCATTAAAGTTTGGGCCAATTTTGTAGGGGCCACAATTATTAAGGTTAGGATTCAGTCTTTATTTTTCATTGATATTATTGGAAGATGAGCTGAGGATGCAGTCTTTACTTCCCAATGATTATTGTTTCACACTTCCACAATGTCAGTCTAGAAAGTTTTATAATTTTATGTTCAGGTACAGGAAAGTTTTGTTTGGTTAAGGAAATGTTCTCCAAGTAACCAGAATGGCCGCACATATTTAATCTGGTTACAGGAGAGTTTGCTGTAAGTTATGTACCATAGTAATACAATTGTACTGTACTAATCAACAGGTGATCATTCCAATTTGCATTTACTGCATACAGTATAAAACAGTAATGTAAAAAATAAATAAATTTATGGGTACTGTAGCTATACACCTGTTTGGTATACAGTACTGTGCAGGTATTTATATCTTGTTAGGAGCTTACTTGTATATAATTAGTCATACATAGTACACTGTACAGTATATATACAGTATATAATTCAGGAGGCATAGACTGTTTACAATGTTATTAATTTTACAACTTATATAACCTGGAGCTGCTAATAAAAAGAATAGAACAGCATGAAGCAGTTTACATCATTCAGTAATGTACTGTACACTCGCTCCAAAAATTTTCTCTGCGATTTTGTGCGAGACAATTTTACACAGTGGACGAAGGGTTTTGACAACCTCACCGAGACAACGGGAGTCGTGGCGTCCATTTTGAAAATCATCGGAGCCCTCGGTAAAGATAATTTATTCTGGAGCGAGTTTACAATATGTTGTGGGTTATAAGATATGTATCCAGAGTGTTGGGGGTCAGATGTGTAATCCCTTCACTACGGGACGCCACTTTTCATATTTTATTGAAGAGAGAGACCTGACACCTGGGAGGTACACAAGGGGTTAACTCACTGTTCTCTTGGTACAGTACACTCTTATGTCCCCATTAAGGTGAGATATATTTTCTTCTTCTTTTAAACATTTATGTTTCACTCCTTCACTTCTGAGGTAAACATAGCAGACCTGTACTGCACCATTAACATAGTCAGTGTGCCCAGATGGTTGCTTCTGAGGACTTTGAGAAGGTGCTCATTCATGCTGGGAGTAATTATTATGAAAGTTGGCACAAATATATCTTACTAAAGGCATTGCAGTATATACAGTATAGTGGCTAAGACACAGACATTTATGTATTGTACAATATTTATTTATTTTGTTTTTTAATTGGGGCAAAAGTCACAACAAATAAAAAAACTTATGGAAAGTTTGTTCTAGTATACTTAGGTATCCCTCATGTAATGATGGGGTTACACTCCTGAACAAACAAACGTTAAGAAAAATTAATTATCGCTAAACGAGGAATTACTGGGGATGCGGCTTCCTATCGGATGCAACTTTAGTAAAACCTCAAAAATACTTTTTTACTTTTGTCCTCTTCACCACTGATCGGCTCGTTAGCCGCTTGGGCGGTCGGTCACGTCTCTGTTACACACTGTTGGCAAGTATACTGGGCATGTACTGGCTCCTGAATGTACCTGAACCTGCTCCAGTGTTGGTCAAGTCTGGTCTTGAAACAGCTCACACTCGGTGCCGTCACAACACACTATGGCAGATTGTTCTGAAAGTTCACAATTCTCACTCAGAAAAAGTTTGCCCTCACAGTTTTCTGGACTGTGGCTTCTTCAACCTTGAGGTGTGACTCCTTGTGGGGCGAGCCTTCGCCAGCTCCAGGTATGGACACTCGCTAAAAGATTATTGTACACCTTTATTGGGTTATATAATATGACACACTAGACCAGTGGTTCTCAACCTTGTTTGCCCCATGCACCCCTTTCACCATATGTCAGAATGTCATTCCCCCCCTCCTTTCCAAGATTGTCTGCCTCAAAAAGTGCATTCCAAATAATATGCATATAATACTGAAAATCCTTTATTTTTTCCATATTAGTACATATACATTTACAATTTTACATGGATTATTTTTATAGTGGAGTTTTACAAATTAAATGCCAATTGAAAATGTTGATGGATTTATAAAACTTGAATAAAAGTAAAATATATTTTTTTTTTTTATAATGAATTACTTAACAGACCAAACTGAAGCATAATGCAATAAACAAAAAGTTCAATAGAATACCAGGATATTGTAAATTTATAATTAATTTTATTCAGATGAAGATTACAGTCAATGAGAAACCTGTGATTGTTTTTTCTTCGCCAATTCTGGGATACGCGGAGGAGTGCTTGAAAGGGCACAACGCAGGTCATTTTCTACCTCTAATCTACTACGTTGCTTCGTTTTAATTTGCAACAGAGTTGAAAAGCCTGACTCACAAAGATATGTCGACACAAACGGAAGCAATGCACGGATAGCTCTTTCTGCCACTTTTGGGTAGGAATCGCACATCAAGGGCCAAAATTCTGTGATTGATTTCTCATCGAACATATCTCTTGCTCCCGAATCAGTTTTCCCCCCTGAAAACCTGAATTCCTGGGGAATTCTCTGGTTGAGAACCCCTGCACTAGACCAAGAAATCTGCTAACACTCATCACTGCTTCTGTCCCAGTGATTATTGTGGATGGTTTCAGAGCCAAGAGTGCAGAGTATATTTAGTGAATGTACACTCGTCGATTAATGCCCTCTTGAGATGTTTATACTCTTAAATTAAGTCACCTCTTGCCTGTCTGTAGGACAGTATAAGGTAGTGTCATGTTGACCCATAATATTCTCAACCTAATTAATGTCACAGGTTCTTCCAAATTAAACTTCAAATACCCATTCAATTTCAGGATCATAATAAACACTGTATAAATATGTCAAATATAATATTGAAAAATTACAATTGACAACTTTATAGGCACGATACAGTAGCCCGAATAACGACGGTAATGTGTCCTCCAATACTGCAGTGTGAGGTGAATCATTGTATCGTGAATCATTAATTACCATTAAAATAAACCAATAATAATGAGATGTGTCTGCGTGACTTTCATATCTTTTACCGTTTTCCCAAAACAATACAATTAATGAAAATTGCAAACTATATTCTTTAAATAATGTTTCTGAATGCACCTTATACTGTACAATATAAATGAATAATAATATGGTCACACAAGAGGAGAGATGGACGTATTGTTTTTGCTTTGTGTTTACGGCGAGTCCGGACTGATGGTTCTACGCAGAAAATGAAGAAAATAAGACCCTGGTTGTAGCTGTAGAAAATTAATGTAAAAAGAATATATATGTTTTAAGTAATGTTGTTTAATGCTAATAAATGGAACAATAGAAGTAGCTAACCACTAATGGCAAAAAAAAAAAAAAAAAATGAGATGGATTGGGAACACCAACATTTACTTGGGTATTTAAGGAAACGTATCATTTATCTTTTTAAGAATATGTACAAAAGATTCATTTTTGTTTATTATTGAATATGTATTTGATTGGATTAATCTTGGTATGTGTGAAATGAATACGTAGAATATTAAAACACACACGAGGAGACAAGACGGCATTGTTTTCGTGAGTGACAATGGTTTTAACACTACCTCTAACCAGTCTCACCACCATTGCCTAAGTCAACGAGTTACAGGTATCTCGCTTAATGATCATTCATTTCATGATATTTCATAGCAATTCAAAATTTTTAATGCCCTTTGTTGTTTAACAATCGAATTTCGGTCTGCTCGCCGCTTTGTTCAAAAACCAATTTTTCTCTTTTGAAGCATGCCTTGTTCAGCTCCATCCCAAGAAGGTGACCATTCTAATCCTCTAACTATCTCCACTGCCTAATCTCATCCCTCTCTAAGATTTTGAAACTATCTTGAACTCCCATTTCCTCCGTCACCTGAACTCATTTTTGTCGGATCACCAGTATGGCTTTCGCCAGGCGAGATCTACTGGTGATCTGCTCTCCTATTGCACCCATCTTTGGTCATCCTCTAGGGATTATGGGAAACTTTCATTGCGGGCCCTCGACATCTCCAAAGCATTTGGACAGGGTATGACACAAGTCTTTAGTTTCTAAACTTCCTCTTTTTGTTTCTCTCCCCACTTTGTTCTCTCATCTCTAGCTTCCTTGAGAACCGATCCATGGCAGTTGTTGTTTAGGATCGATCTCGCTTTTCTACCAGTAGTGGTGTCCCACAGTTCTGTTCTTTCATCCACTCTCTTCCTCCTTTTATCAATGATTTACTTCACACTACAACTAATTCTATCCATTCTTATGCTGATGATTCTACTCTTCTCTTCTTCACAGTTTCCCCTTCCTCTAACTCTCAAACTAGATCTGTTTCTAGAACTGATATCATTACATCTATCAATGTGGATCTGTGCAGCATCTCTGAATGGGGAGATACAAACTTGGTTAAGTTCAATAGTAACAAAACTCAATATTTACCAATTACTTTGTAAATTAGGCGATCTCCACCAATTACATTTCAGGACGTATCATCCTCACAAATTCTGAAATAAATATGTTGGAAGCTCACTATCCTCCAATATGTCATGAAATCACACATCTTTAGTATAGCTAAGCTGCCTCGAAAACTGGGAACTCCTGAGCAGTTGTTCCAAGTATATAAGGGATTCATTTGTCTAACTTGGGTACTGCTCTCATATCTGGGGTGGCTCTTCTTCTGTCCAACTATAGATAGGGTGGAATCAAGGCATTTCGTCTTATTAACTCTCCTCTAGTCGATAATGTCTCTTCCCTTTCTCTTCACATAATGTTGCTTCTCTCTCTTTTACAGGTACTTTAGCGAATGTTTGGTGGATTTGGCATCCTGTGTACCGGTAAGGCGGTGGGCTGTAACACACGTCTTGCCCTTGGTTGCCCACCGTTCTCTGTGGATATCGGTCACATGAGATTATAGCCTCCTTCTTTCCTCACACAGCCAAACTGTGGAATGCTCTGCTCTTCTGTGTTTCCATACTTATACAATCTGTCTCACTTTAAAAAGCTGGTTTCGGCATCTTCATGAAGTAGATTAACACAGTACAGTATAACCTTTTTCTTCTCTATTTTCAATTTTTTTCTGTTCCTATTTTTTCGTCCCCCAGGCCCCACTGTGGGTCGTTTGACCTATGCTTGGTGGGCTATTCCCCGCAAAAAAAAAAAAAATTAAATAAATAAATGAAATAAAAATTAAAACAATAATGATAATAATAAATACAAATCGTTGACTCACTGGGAAAAATTCAGGAGGGAAGTTGGAAAAAACTGGGGATTCTGTGGTTCAAGTACAGTACATCATTACAATACAGTAGGGTCGGGATATATACGCAGATAGGGTCCAAGGATGTTCGCTATATATAATTACATGTAATCAATGGGGAAAATAGGGTTAGGTTCTGGAGGCCAATAAACGTGACTAAACTTGACATAAATGACAGTCTAAAGTTAGCAGAATATAAATTACATTGGTGGAATCCTTGCAAGACAGAGAATAATTTGAATATATACATCATATATTTTGTTCAAGAGATAGAAAATTCAACTCTTATTTTTGGGGTCAATTTATGGTATTATTAGGAGTGTTTCTGACTTTATGGGTTTTGGGCTCTATGTGAGGTCCCAGGAA